TATCTTCTCCCATTCTATGGGCTGTCTCTTCCTTTTTTTTTTTGTTGGGCTCTCTCTATGTTGTCCAGGGTGGCCGTGGCCTGGATTTCACATCTTCCCACCTCCATCTCCCTGGTGACTGGGCTTCATTGCCCCCAGCTTCTTCTCACTTCTTCATGTTATTCTATTTTTTCCATATTTTTTTAATTGGTTGATGCTATTCTTTAAAGTCAATTCTATGTTGGTACTTATTCTCAATCTTATTTCTGTTACAAGGATATTGTTGTGAGTTGAGTAGTGTCCTCCTACAATTTGTAAATTAAATTCATAATTCTCAGTATCTCAGAATGTGACCTTATTTGGTAACAGGGGTGTTTCAGATTAATTATTTAAGGTAGTGTTGGATCCAAAGCATGGGCCTCTAATCTGACTTGTGTCCTTATGAGGAGAAATTTGTACATAGATATGAACACAGGGAGAATGCCAAGAAACTACTAGAACCTGGGGGAGAGAGAGCCTGGAACAGATCTTTCTTTAATGCCTTCAGAGGGAGCCTGGACCTGCTAACACCTTCATCTTGGATTTCTATCCTCCAGAATTATGAGACCATAAATTTCCATTGTTACTCAAATTGCAGTAGTTTTATGGTAGTCATAACAAACTAACAGAGATGTCTAATGCAAAAGTTAGATTTATTTTTCAATTTTAGCAGCTATATCAGATCAAAATTCATGGTTTAATAATTTACCATTTCTTGGTTTTTAATCTTAGTTATGTTGCCCAATTACATGAAATATACATTGGATTTAATGGGCTCTTTATTTTTTGCTTTATAAGTATCATAGGATTTTTTAAAATTATCAAAATAGTATTAAAATATGTCAGTGTCCACAAACCCAAGTGAACATTTCTTTTCCCTTTTGAACTTCCCTTTTCCCTTTTGAGTAAGAAAAGCAACCTTATTAAAATTCTTCCTTCTTCTCCTATGAGACAAGGGAGATGACTAAAGTCAGCATTTCACAAGAACTTTGTCTAAGAAACTAGTCATGGTAACCTTTTCATTCCCAGTATTTGGTTTCGATATGTACAAAACACAGTTTTAGCATATGAGACCTAAGGAGAATTCTAATGGGTGATATTTGAGAAAAGTTTTCTTGTTCTTAAGAAAGAAACACAAAAGAGAAAAATTCCTTCCCCACTGCAGTTACCTTTTGAGCTATATGGTAGTTAGTCTTTTGGAAAATTACTTATACAAAGGATTGCTGGCTGGAGTGAGAACTTGATTTCTTCATGAGGTTGGGAAGTTACAACTGAAGTTTGTCTTGTATCTGGGCTTTTAAAATTTTAATTTAACTTTTAGTTGTAGATGGACACAATAACTTTATTTTATTTATTTTTTATGTGGTGCTGAGGATTGAACCCAGTGCCTCACACATGCTAGGCAAGTGCTCCACTACTGAGCCACAACCCCAGCCCCTCTGGACTTTTTACTGTGAAATGATAAATGTCCTTGTTGTTTAAACTAGTTTGGTTCAGAGCTTTGGTTTTTCTAGTACAAAGCATCTAAGCTAGTATATAACTATTCCTTTCTAACAATAACCTTTTCCTTTACTTAGCTGCATTGCTTTGCTGATGTTAGAACTCCACAAGAACATCCTTGGATAGTTATTTTTTTGTGTGCTCTCAACATTTCTTAGTCTAAATATCTCTAATTAATGCAGAGTGTGTGTGCTGCAAATGGGTTACAGAAGTAATGAGATATTGACTCCTTCATTTGTTAGAGTGACTGGAAACATGGTGGTGGTCATTCTTGTTTTGGCATCAGGTAGTGTCCTCCATTTACTGAAAAGTGCTGAATGAATAACATTTTCAAATGTGTGTACTGAATTAATGTATTGTTAATTGGCTTATTTCAAAACAATTAAACTACTTACTAGTACAAATCCAGATGAGATATGGACTATCAATATAATAATGGAATAGCCTTCTTGTAGTCTTAAGTTTGCTCCATTTTAAAAAATTCATATCTTTTTTACATTGCCATTGATCCCAAATTCCTTCTAGATACAAGGAGGCAACAGCAAACTTCATAGCAATATTTTTAGAGCACATGTGGCCCGAGTTCCAGCTTATGTCTTCCCCTGGGCTGCGAGTAAGTCCTCTACCCTTTCTAGACTGTGGTTCCATCATCTGTAAAATATGAGGCTGATATAAGCCTCACGTTTTATGGATCTATGTAAACACATCTATGCAGGTACAGATCTTAGAACTATGGCAGACAAAATGCTTTTATTTTGATTTTAAAAATCCTATATTCATCGTTGTTAAGCTTAATTATTTTAAAATTAAGTTTTTATTAATTTAAACGGAATATTTTAATTTCAGCTGAAAAATTTAAATGTCAGGGTATTTAAAAATTATTATTTTAAATATACATATTTATGGGGTATAGTGTGATGATTTGATACATGTATATAATATTCAATGATCAAATCAGGGTAGTTAGCATTTCTGTCTCTGTAAATTTTTTTTTTAAATTTTGATTACCACATAATAATTATGCATATTTATAAGGTACAGCAGGAGATTTCAATATACATTTACAAGTGTTCTGATCAAGTCAGGGTAATTAATGTTTCCATCTTATTATTATTATTTTGTTTTAAGACTTTGACTCCTCTCTCCAAGTTATTCATAAAATATATGTTTTTGAACTACAGTAACCCCACTGTGCTGTAGAACACTAGAATTTACTTCTACCTAATATGTCTTGGTTTCCATTATTCCACTTCCCCCTCAACCTGTCCCTATCCAGCCTCTAGGAATCACTATTATGTATTCAGATTGACTTTTTAAAGCACTGACATATGACAGAAAGCGTACAGTAATTGTCCTTCTATGTCTGACTTATTCCATTTAACATATTGTGCTCTATTTCTACCCGTTTTGCTGCAAATGATGAGAATGTTCTTTTTAGTGGCTAAATAATTGTGTGTACATACCACATTTTCTTTATTTGTTCATCTATTAATGGGCATCTAGGTTGATTTTATACCTTAGGTATTGCGAATAATGCAGCAATAAAAATGGTCATGGAAGTCTCTTTTTATATGCTGTTTCCTTTGTATATATGAGATAGCCGGATCATAAGGTAGATATATATTAATGTTTTGAGGAGGCTCTATATTGTTTTTCCATATGGCTATATTAATTTATATTCTTTTATAAAAATAAACAAATGTTGTTTATTATTCAGGAGAACCCATTGTTTTTTTCATGTTATTTTTTATAATTCAAACATTAAATGGCACACAGGAATAATTCTTAAAATGGTAAATGTATGTAGTAGATAATGTCACACTAGCTTCTTTGATAAAGAGTAGTAACTTCATAATATTTTGAAGTGTTAAGAATTCTTAAACTAAAGAGTAAGTGCTGTCAGGGAGGATGGGAGGGGTTAAAGATAGAAACGTAAAATGGGTTTCAGTAGTGAAATTGTAATACTTTTCCTCAGAAAGATTTTATGAAATTAAATATAAAACAGCACACAACATGACAAAATTCATTATTATCCTTTTGAGGGTGGCTAGGATGCTGAAGCATATTGTTTTGTTTACTTTTTTCCCACTAGATCTTAAGTCTTTTAAAGAGTCCTCAATGTCTTTTTATGTATGTAAGAACAGGAAGCGTGAGGGGCAAAGAAATTGTTTGCTTCTGTCAAATCTCACTAAGATATCTTGATCCACCTATATTTGCTAGTGCAGTGGGGAAACATTTTTGCCACAAGTCTGCAGAGTTGAAGTATTTAAAACAAAACACAAGACCACATGTTTCACACTTAAAAGCATAATAGACTGTAGCTGAAGGGTGAGGTGGGGTGGGGTGAGGTGAGATGAGGTGAGGTGGTTTAACAAGCTATGGAGTTTTAAATATCTCTGATACTAAGTGCAATGGCTGCAAAAATAACTCCAGAGAAACATGACATGACCTAAAATAAAAAGAGTCTCTTAACTAAGCAATGCAAAGAATCATTTTAACAAAATCCAACTTTGCTTATACTGTGTAATATATGAACATTGACACACTAACCCTTGTGGTTCACTTTTTATTTTTGGTTGTTAAGTGCCCTTACAGGGTCCACCCTAAGGGCTATTATCTTTCACACAGTGGGAAGAGAGAAGCTCTGAAATGTCATGTAATGGAAGCATTTTCTCTATATTGAACACAAACACATTAATTAGAAATATTCAATATAGATACACTGTTTTTTTTAGCATTGGCTGTGAATTATAGCTCTAAGTATCACTGTATCCATTCACTCATTCATTCAATAATTATTCATCTCATACTTATCTAGGCATCAGGATATAACCTTAAAAAGGGCATCACTCTGTCCTGATTGATAATAATTAAACGAAGAACCAAAACCATTGCTTTGACAGAGTTGAATGCTGTAAAGAAGTAAGGCCAAATCTTTATAGAGCAGACTGTGGCTGTTTTAGATGTGTGGTCAGAACAGCGTTCTTTGCAGAAGTGATATCTGAGCTGAGACTTAACGGACAAGAAGAAATCAGCAGACAAAATACCAAGAAGGAACAACTAGTTCTTTTGCAACGGATATGCAAATGAATGGTTAACAATGTCGTATGGAATTTGGCACTTTTAGGAACAGCTAGGAGGCCTCTGTAGCCAAAGCATGGTGAGCATGTATTGATAAGGTTCTAGAGTTAGGTAAGGAGTTTCACTTTTATTCTAATTAAAATTGGTATTCATTTGAAGTTTTAAAGCGGGGTGGGAAGTAAAAGGTGTAAGACAATTGACATTTTAAAATACGATATTGCACTTCGATTTCATTTCTCTGAATCCAATTTCTAATTCTGGTGTTGGTCGAAAAACATCCTGGCCCTCCGTCCCTGTTTGCCCTCGCCTAGGCTTGTTTGCACCCGACGCCCTGCTGTTGACAGCCTCAGAGGACTGTGTGACAGTTGGCAGGCGCAGTGAGGTGCATCCGGAGCCAAGTCGCTGCAGGGGCCAGAGCTGCGGGAGGGGAGGAGGGAAAGGAGCGGTGGCTGCGCCTTGGGAAGGGGGAGGCCTTTGCCGCGAGGGTGGAGGCGATGCGCACTCGGAGAGAGGGATGAGGAAGAGGGCGGAGAAGAGTTTCCCCGGGGTTCACGGGTCCACCGACCATTCTGTCTCGAAGGCTCACCAGAGCTGCCGGGATTTGGCATTGGAAACAATGGAGACTCGGGGCTGGAGACAATGGCGCAAGTGTTGGGGGACGGGAGAGACTAGGAGAGCGTCTTCGGCCTAGCGCCGCAGGGCCTGGCCCAAGGCCCCAGAGACATCGCCCCAGGGAACCGCAGGTGTTGATTTAGAGCTGAGATCAGGCGAGTCTTCTGCCCACAACCTGCGGCGCCTGGGGCCCGGCCGGGAGATCCGGCGCCGGGTTTTTTTATCCGCCCGCATCTTGAGGCCGCGCCTAGAGCCGCCAGCTCGCGGACGCGACCCTGAGCGCTGTGGGGTCCGTGGGCGTCCCCGCCCTCACTTCGGTCTCCTAGCCAGCGAGAGACAACTCTGGGACAACTCTGCAATCGGCGGGCAGCCCTGCGGAAAAGACCCACTTCACTCGCTCCTTTGGCCTCCAAGCGATTTGCCTGGGGCCAGTCTCCCTGGAAACCGACGTTTCGCGGTCCGAAGAGTGACTTTTCCTCCTCAGGATCCTGCTCTGCCTTCAGATCTCGACTTCAGTGGCACGTCCTCAGCGAGGCCTCACATCACCAAGCCAACTGGATGAACGACCCACTCCCTCTCCATCACATCATCCTGACTGAATGCGCAGTGGGGCACTGATTTTACTCTCGCGTGTCTTCTGCGTTTGTTTATTGTCTGTCTTTGGAATGTCCGCTCCACAAGGGCGGGGCGTTGCTTTTCTGGCGCAGAGCCGGCCTAGCGGCGCCCGGGAACTGAAGGGCCTCCACGTTGGCTGAAGAAGTGAGCTAGCTTCGCGGTTAGGGAACGCTGCGGCCGCTGGCACTTCTGGAAGGGGCGGGGCTCGCGCTGGCCCCGCCCCTGCTGCTCTTTCCCCGCCTCTCCCTGAAGTCCTCCGAGGGTTGAGCTGAAGCTTCGGGCTCCGGCCTCCCTGGCTCTTTCTGCAGCCGAAGCGAAAACCCGGAACGGCGGAGCGGCGCCGCCCCACGCGGCACCTCCCCGGCAACCCTCAAGGCCCCGCTGGGCATGCTCAGTCAACAGGGCCGCTTCAGCTCTCGGAGTAGGAAGCTCGGGCGCTCCGGCTATAAGAAGCCGCAGCGGGGGGGAAAATGGAGCCCTTCAACAATGGTGAGTGGACCTCGAAACCCGGTCTCTCGGGGCCTCGGTGGGTCGTAGACTGTGGTGACACGCGGGGCCGGGCTACCGTCGTCCGGGTTTCCCACGAGGGCTGGGGGGCAGTGGAAGGGGGTCCGGAGGCAGCCTGCTGGAGGCTCGGGCGGCGGGTTTGGCCACTGGGGGCTGGCGTGAAGGTCGGCACCAATGCCTGCTCGAGGTGCGGCCACGACCCAGCGCTATTTTACACCGCCGAACCACAAAGTTTGGGCTAGTGCGCAGAGGAGGGGGCCGCGGGAAAGTTGGCATCCTGGCTTTGCCCCCGTAGAAGGCGGTGTCAGCCTCTACTCTCCAGCAGGAAGGATTAAACTGTGGCTGCCGCCAAACCCAACTTGTGCCGGTGGGTGAGGAGCTGTCCCCCTGTCCTTCAGCGAGTTGCGGGACTGACTTCTTTTAGTAGGGCGCGGTGGGGATGCGGGGCATGGCAGGGTAATTTCGTGGAAGGAAGGGAAACTTACGGGAAGATTTCCTCGCCCCTGCCGTGAGCCTCCGAAGTCCTGCCAGCATTGCCACTCTCCTGTTTATTTCTGGTGCACTCTGAAGGGCGATCACGCTTCCTTTCACTGACTCCTGATATTATCAGTTTTTCAATCAAGAACTCTTTGAATATGAAGGATCTGTCACGGTAATATCACAATTTATGGCAGGTGTTAAAGCGGGAGCCTGTATCCTGAAAACAGCCACAGCCTTTTACCGAATGGAGTGAATAAATCCCACCCTACTTAATAGCTTTTGTTTGGACCAGAAGGGCTGGAGTCAAAATACAGGAGTGAGATACCTGAACCATTTTGCAGCATTTGAGCTTATGGATTCCCCTTTAGGATAGAAAGTAAGAAAACTGCTAATAAGGGAGCCTACATACTAAAATTAGGGGATTCACTCTAGGTGACACGTGTTTTCCTGCGGGATGATTGGTTACTTCAGGTAGAGTATCGCATTAATAGGATACAAAAGTCAATACCTTGTTGAGTTAGTTCACCCAAAAGACAGATATTGTCCACTATATCCCAAACTCCAGCCAGACTTGTATACTTTGCTTCATTCATGGGATGAAGAACTATTAATTATATTCTCCTTATCCCTAATTCAGACTGCTTTATTCTACTGCCATCTTTCTGTCTGTACTGTTTAATTAGGCTTAATGATGATAACTTTAATTGTGAATTTTCTTTCATATTCAGGTTCTACCTGTAAGTGCTAAGGTTCTAAGAATAGTCTAGTAAAGAGTTAAGGAAGATATGAGCTGAAAGGAACCAGAGACCATCTAGTATTTGAGTGTAAAATATGTATTAATACAGGTCATTAAGTCATTGTAAGTGAGTATTTCAAAGGCCTATTTTTTATCCTAGGAATAATTGTATCTTCCATGTTTGTAGGATTTTAAATGTGACATTTCATCTAATTAAAAAAAATCACAAGACTAAATCACTTATTTGATCAAGACTAATGCGAATTGTTTTACTGAACATTTACCTACAGGATTAAAATACATTTCCAAGTCTTAAAATTAATCTTCTCCCCTCAGAATATCTTACTCTAGATGTGAATAAATACAAATTGTCACAATTGGAAGGACAGTGGCAAAATCCCAGAGAACAACAACAACAACAAAAAAGCAATACTTAAATTTTCATGTAGAAAATTGGATTTCTAATCCTTTCGTGTCTATTATCCATATTTTCAGAGTTGATGCTAGAGACAGATTGACAATGTATCATTTTGGTTACTGTAGTTTCACTACTTGGAACTTGAATGAGCATCCTTTAGCAAGTAATATAGAAAGTACAGCAAGAAATTATATGCTGGCATTTTGAGGTACTTTTCAGGTTTTAGGTAGGTTTAATTCAAAACTTTGGAAGATTTGCTGTAGAATTTTCTAATATCTTCTAACATGACATGACATAATGGTAAATATGCTTATCTTTGTACTTAATTCTTTTGAATGCAGAAAATATGCACATATAATTTTGTCATCTGTCTGGGTGTTTTGTTGCAGAATAACTATTAGAATTTATTATTGAAGGATTTATCAAGCTTGGTATTGGCTTTTGTTACATGTTCATCCTCATTTAATAAAATCTTTACCACTTATGTTTTCGCATATGTCCACATTTAGACAAAGAGGTGTGGAAACTTTAGAACAGCTTCAGTGGTTCAGGACCACATATCTTTCAGTTAAAATCTTGTCAGTGGTTCCACCTCCTGACCTATAAATTTGTAAAGGAAGTGAATTTCGACATTCTGGCCTTTAAGATTTGTCTATCCAGTAGGGATTTCTGTCATTCCTCCATTTCCTGTCAAAAGTTGCTGATCTCCCCAGCACCACACACACACAGACAAAAGTTGCTGCTGATGTGGCTCATTTTCTTGGGTTCTGCTCTCTACCTGTTGATGATGAGTTCATTTGATGAATATCCTATGTTGTTAACATGTCTGGGTAACATGCTGCTACAACCCATATAACATGCATGTTTCCAGAAAGGACTTATAAGGATGGACCTTAGGGTCGGGAATTCCCATTGGGTCCAGAAGATATTTTTGGCTTTGCCCTTGGAGAGGGACCGCTGACTGTAAAGCTGAAGACTGGATATCTAATTTGCCTTTGGATCTCTGGTGATTGTTTTATGGGGAGAGAGATTTAAGATTGGTTTCACAATAACTCTTGTGTCTATTAGGCAGGTAGAGGTGAAACTTTTAGGAAGTAGTGATTTATTCACTACAACCAAAAATTCTATGGCAATTATGTAGGTTTTTTTTCCCTCCCTTTTTGGATAGGAAAATGATACTACTAAATGAAGAGAAATAATTATTTGGTGTCTATCTTTGTCCTCATTTGCATGCAGGGTTGGCATATTTCAGACTAACTTAAATTCATATTAAGAAATGCTAAAGCCAAGGTTTACCTTCTGAATCTGATTGACAAGTTCAGAGGTTGGGCCTAGGTATCAGCAACTTCATTTTTAGGATACTAGAAGTGTTCACAAGATTTGGAAACATGTTGATGAATAAATTTCCTGCTCTTATATAGGAGATATTTTGTCACTACTTCGTAGTTTGTAGTGTGATCTGAAGTAAATTTAGAAGTTGGAAAAGCATTGGTATTTGAAGAACCAGAATTGAAAAAATAATTTAAACAGCTTTATTTTTTTCATAGGAAAATAACTGCCATAATGACCATATTGCTATAGCTTGGTATACAATTATATATTTTCTTATTTAAAAAAGTTGTTTTTGTTTACATTTTCAGATTGGTGTCCAGTTGAAAGTATTTTTCATTTCTAAAATGGAAAGTCTTGGCAATAAATTAGGTTTTTGTGGGTTACAAAGCAATATAAAATTGTAGCTTCATATGTATACATATATGTATGTGTGAGTATATATGTGTGTGTGTGTGTGTGTGTATAGATATATAACATTCTACTACAAATTATTGAATTGAAAGAAACCCCTAATGAAATAAAAGCTCATAGTTTCTCTGTGTGATAGAATATAGGTTAAACTGTTTTATCTTTCTAAGTTTTTTATTTCATTTGTGGAAAATCAGACTACAGTAATTGAGGATTAGCATCATTAACAGTTTAAGGCTGAGTTAGAAATCAGTGCAACTTTTAATTAGAAAGTAGTGGTAGAAACAGTCTTTGTTATTACTTAATACATTTCCAAGAGTGTCTTGAGACAAGATAAAAAACAGCATATTTTAGAAATGGTTGTAACCAGTGATTCTTATTTTTCTATAGGTGGTCTTTGAGAACTCACTCTGAAAGATACAGAACTAGAAAGAATAGTATAAAGAAATTATCATATGGAAAATAAGCAGAGGTGATTTCCTGGTTAGTCAGACAGACACCATCTTTGAATGCTCACTTACAAGTACATTTTCTGCTAGGCAGCAAAACCCCAAAAATGATAACAACAATAAAAAGCCCCAAACTAAAATGCAAATCTGTCATCAGACAGTGCTACCTAAGAGAAATGAACTGAGAGAATCTAGTTTTATTTTTCATGCTATAATAAAAATATGGAAATGTAGAAGAAGTTAAAAAAAAATGAGGCTTTGTCCAAGATAGTGTTCTAGTGATGGAAGAGATGTAGAATTGTCTTTTTATAACCTGTTTATATAATATTTGTTATCAATAAGTTTCTATTTCTACTGACTTAGTGTAATATTCTTATTAGGGAACTAATATTCTTTTTTAAAAAATAACTTCATTTTGTTTATTTAATTTGGTGCTGAGGAATCCAGTGCCTCACACGTGCTAGGCAAGGGCTCTACCACTGAGCCACAACCCCAGACCATGGAAATTAATATTCTTATTAGCAGTGTTGTGACCCTTTCTGTGAAAACATTAGTAATTGAAATATGGAAGAATTTAACCAACATCACCTCAGAATTCCGGATAGAGCTAGATTAGGTCTGTGGTTCTTGGCAATTGAGGTGACAGTGCAGCCATGTTCTGTCAGTTATCTGTCAGTTATCTCATGTCTTGAAAGCTAGGAGTTGAGCTCATGCTACTTGGCTATAATACTGTGGGAGCAGCCAGAAAAAGTCTTTTTTTTTTTCTTTTTAAAAAATCCCTAGATATGTACCTTTTCTGAATGTTCACAGGAAACCCAGATTGGAAGTGGTGAAGTTTTTGGAACCCCTTTTCATGATATAGCTGTTTTTATATCTAGTAGCTTTTGTAGAGAAGGCTGCTCATTGTCCTAGTGTTTCTGAACGGAAATCTAACATTAAGATTCCTGAGCCCACAGAATGGTGTTAAGGAGTCCGTTAAAACCTAATCTGTTGTTGTAATCCATTTGTGGTTGTCCTAGAAGCACCTTTAAGAGTTCAAATCCTTCAGATATCTTTGGGAAAAATTGGTATTTGAGAGCAGAAGCTGTGATAAAGTTGAAAAGAATGTAGAGATTTGGGAGTAAAGGAGGAAGCTGCTGGTCAAAGAGTTTTAAAATGG